AAGCGGAGTGCGGGCCTTTGCATCCACTGTGTACTTGTGGATGAGTCCGGTTCGTTCGCTGACGCGTTTTCAGTTAGTCCTTAGTGCAATCACCTCGGCATGTACAATCAGTTTAGTTTTTGGGTCAAGCACCTCGTCCGGCACGTGGCTCGGGCCACGGGTGTTGACACGTGGCGGGTGAGGTGGCGGGTCTGACACAGGCCCGTAACAATAATAATTGCCCTCAAAAGTGTGTAGCTAGATTTCTTTTTAATTCATTTCTGTAGTATATATTTTAAATCAATTAGAAATCAAAAATCACAAAAATATGATTCAGATGATATCACTCTATATAGAATGATTTAAAAAAAAGAACTTTTTTAAAATTAAAATAGTGATACTAAAAAATATTACAATTAAGGAAACAAATATAAACATAATGAGAGAACAACAATTGGAAACTTACACTACGTGGGAGGTTTTTGAAATTTTTGATAAGGAAAATGATCTTATTGTTGTAAAAATAATACTATCTAGTATCACTGTTACTACATCATCAGTTTAAATGACACTAATTTGCAGGCTCAATAAAAGGTAGAATTGAGTGACTAATCCAATTGTACATATCATTTAATGACGTATTAGTGTCGCATAAACTGATATTTTAACAACTGTACTGCTAAATAGCATTATTCGCTGACGGATGTCAACATTTTTCCTTTTTCTTTACTTGCTTTCCTTGAAAAAATGAAATGAGTCAAACGATACTCTATACAACCTCTTCCACTCGTGGCTTTGTTCATCTTGTCATTTGCAGAGAAACAGAGTATAAGCTAACATTTTATGTCTTTCACAATCAACAATATGTACCAGCAGGTGTTCATAACTGACCGGCTTTCACTGATGATCACAAGCGGACGAGTACATAAGAATTCGTCGAACCCTTTTTCATTTACCTTCCACTTTTGGACCAAAAGTGTTCCAACTTCGACTCACCTTGAGAAAGTTATATAAATGGAGAGCAGGTTAAATCCCACTGGATGCAGAGAAATGACCACCATTTTCATATCGGTCTGGTTTTAAATCCTGTTGCCAAAAGCTTGGCATATAGAAGTTCATTCCAAGTGTCGGGCACTCCAGGTAGACACCAATGGCTGCAGTCTTGTGGGGCAGTGATTGAAGTACCTGGTTCGCGGTGGCTTGATGGGTGACCATCTTTCCTATATTCAGTTAAATACGTTACGTTCAAGAAGTGAACATTTCTCTTTGCACTTTTCATTTGTTTGACTACTTCGTAAATAAGTATATTGTTTCTTGGTTCTGAGTTCAGCCTTTTGTAGTCTGATTCTGGTTCTATATTCAAATTACAATGACCACCTTCATTCCATTCTCCATCCCTGCAATTTCACATCAGATATCGTAAATTACATAATCTACGTACCAAGTTGAAGTAGATAGAATCGTCGTAGAATCCATCCCGTAATGTATAACTAACTTGCCTGTAATGTACTGGCGAATAACTGCGGAAGAAGATAAGGCTCTTTTCGGGCTCTAAATTTTGCATCAACCACGACTTCAACGTGTTTAGAGATCTTCGAAAGGCTTCCATTACATCCATGGTCATGTTCACACTTTTTCCTTCCTGGAAAAAATGTCCCCTGAAAGACAAATATATTCTTAAAGCTGCACGAATAGACTAAAAATATGGAAAGTTGAGTAAAAATAAAATGCCAATGACTCAATTTCATCGGAGTTTTATGTTAGTGATCGAATTGGATAAAAATTAGATTTTTAGTAGATTTTTGATAAAAAAAAATTGGTGAAATGTTGTAGTTGAAAAATTTATAGAAGTTGTATGTTCTATGAAATATGTATTTGAAAATGATTTTGGAGAAGAACGAGTTTTAAGAAATGAGAGCCAAATGGCTAAATGTAATACTAGTCACTACTCATCCTCCGTTTTATAACGGAATGCTCGATGTGACTTAACTAAAATAAAAAGTAAATTTGATACCTCTTGACCGTTTTGTCTTGATTCCACCAATGACCAGCGCTGAATACAAAAACATTCGCTCCAACCCATTTAGTGGAGAACCAATGCAGTTTATCGACCCTAACCACACCGGTAACTTCCTTGGACGAATTTTCTGGTGGGCGATCAATGACGACTAAATAAGGCATTCTATAGTATTCGACGGTGAGATTGTATTCTTGAAATCGAATTGACAGGAAGCCCTTATGTTTCGTTATTGGG